CAAGGCCTGAACGAGAAATCCTCATGGACCAGTCATCGAGAGTATTTAATTTTAAAATACATTTTCAAGACAGTTACCATTGAATCATCCATTGAAGAATTCACAATTTGACACTATATAACTGTAATGTAGAACTTTATTTCGGTGGAATGGTTTAATGTTTAAATAAGGACAAATAGATATAGCCACCATCACGGTTACCTCTGTCAAGGTAACCTTTATTAGGATTGGGTTTTACTGTACTGTAGTGGTCTCTATTTGATTTTTAGTATTTCATCACGTAATTTACATTTTAAATCAGTTTGATATCTCCACTCTTTAATGAGGATCACGACTACAGTAAACCGCTTCACGATGACAAAAGTTTGGGTTCAATTCAATCAGACTTTTTAATATCGCACTTTTTAGCTTCCCAGTTATCAAGAAGTTGCGCCGATGATAAATGAGCTTGGGACTTTGCTTGAGTTACTCAAGTTGACTTAGACTTGAGGTTAGCCGTAACGGATGACAAGGCGACAAACACTCAGTTGCGAGACCATCCGATACCGGTTAAAAATGAAACTGGAGGCGATATAAACGTCGGTGCACCAATAAAATAAAATAAACTAGCAATTCCTAATAAACATAAAAGCATAACTGATAGACATTGATGATAATTGAAATCAGTTGCACACTTCATCGGCAGACAAACAACAACAGCAACAGAGTTTGCAGCAGTCCTATAATCGCATTACTGTACAGAAACGTATTGTAATGGCCTGCTGATTATAAAACAGCTGGGGAAAACAGCTAGTAGCGTTACCATAGTAACGTGGTACCATATAAGTAGCGTTACCATGTGTATTGAGGTTACTGCCAGCCTCCTAAATACTTTTATAGCAATACCAAATCTCTCTACTATACCGCAATACATAAAGTTACCGCGCTAACTAAAACTAATGACCCAACTATTTGTACTATCTTGTAACTATACTTTCTAGCATATTAAACATTAAATACTACAAGTACTTAACAGTTAACATATATGATCATATTTAATGACCCCCGCTATAAGTATTTAAATAGTACTTTTTACTGTAATTAGCTGTTTGTTGTCGGAGACGCTGAACCATCAACAGGATTGCGATTAGAACATCTCGTTATAAAGCTCTATTAGAATAATTAGAACAACCAATTAAATAAATATAATCATAATGATGCTTTATACTTGCATGTACAATAACTATGTATACTACATTAGTTAGTTATAACGGTATCTAAGTTAAATGACACAACTACACACACTAGATATGTACTGCAAATGAAGCCGGATGTATTAAAGAATTGTAACGTGACCTACTTTACCACACTGCACAATTAGAATCAATTCTTTTCCTCAAATTGTTCAATATAACGCCGCAGTTCAACAATAAAACACCCATCAGAACATACCAGCCAATTAATGCGAGTTTAAAGGAAAGCTGCGAATCAGAGTTAGTTCCAGTTAAAAGCAGCCAATCAGAGTTAGTTTCAGTTAAAAGCAGCCAGTCCGAGTGAGTTCCAGTTAAAAGCAGCCAATCATAATTCATAGTGAGCTTTAGTCAAAAGCTGCTGATAATGACTAATGCAGTGAAGAGAGATATATTTAAAATGGCTCATAACAGCTCCTTAAGCTTAAGTGTGAGTACGTAAGCCCAAACTAAACACTAAACAGGTATACATATTTATATTCTGGTATACATATTTATATTCTGGGTTAATTTCAAGATACTGAAGACTTATGACTTGATATTTTTCAGGAGCCAAAATATTAAAGTTTAAAAACTATAAAGTTTAAAAACTATAAAGTTTAAAAACTATAAAGTTTAAAAACTATAAAGTTTAAAAACTATTAAGTTTAAAAACTATAAAGTTTAGTAGTAAATCTTTCAAAGTACGAAATATCTCTTTAAAAGAGCATCCTAGGCACCTTATAGATATCAAAACGCATAAAAAAGAAAACAAAAACATCAACCATCTTCTAACTTCTTCCACTCCTCCCTATCTAAAGCTAAAAATCTAAGGTCTTCGAAATCAGTCAAATTCTTAAGTCTAATATCAAGATTTCTACTAGTCAAGTCTTTTCTAATAACATCTAATAAGTTTAAACATGGTCTACCCCGTCTCCCTTCCATAAAAATATCAGAATTTATAGCAAATATCATAGAGGTGTATGCTGGTGAGTCTTCCTGTCCCCTTAAGATATGTCCTAACATTCTCCATCGAAACTTAGAGACTCTCACAGACAAGGGAGTGACATAACAACGAGCATAGAGTGCCTCATTAGAAATAACCCCAGTAGGCCATCTGATGTTGAGGATTCTTCGGAGGTGTTTGCGATGAGCAATATCAAGTTCATTCAACGAAGCTAGTGGTGCAGCCCAGGAGTTGCAGTTGTAGAGTAGAATAGAGACTACTTGTGCCTCGTAGATTTTGATCTTCCTTTGGACTGAAATCTTGCTCTTCATCCAAACTTTCTGAAATTTACTAAAGGCGACATTACCAAGGAATATTCGATTCTTGATATCCTTAACAGTGCACATCAACGATCCTAAAGTTTTGTTAGAGCGCCACTCTTCATCACCTCTATACACTTTTCCAACAATCACCTTGCGTTTAACAGTGGGTTTAGGATCTGCTAAATAAAAATGGACAAATTCAGTCTTGGAAGAATTGATATGAAGGTCCCACTGCTGGAATATATCTTTAGCGATAGGAAGCATTTCTTTGAGTGGAGCAAGTTCAGTGTTATTAAAGTCAATATCATCAGAGTATCCTGTTTCGAGTGGCATGAATTCTTCTGAGATAGGAGGATTAGGGATTGGATGATTCACTGGGTAAGGTGTTGATGATACTTGGGAGAGTACAGATCTGAGGTGAATAAGTGCAGCGGCTTCAACAACAGTAAATAGATTACCTGATAGTGCATCTCCTTGAAATGCTCCAGTTGTGCTTTAAAGTTTAAAACATACTAATGCAAGATTCGCCTAAATGCATCAGGTCGGGTAACGTATGGTGGGGGGGGGGGGTTGGAGCCAATGTCATGGGGGGGGGGGGGATGGAGCCAATGACCTAAAATAGCATTAAATGGCATAGACATTTATGGAGAAAATGGAAAAATTTTATGATTATATTGAGATTTTATGCCATTTTTTTCCATGGATTTTTGTTATCGAATTACATATATTATGACGCAATGAAACTACCGGACACCTAAATTAGACATCCTGACATGTTTATTTACGCATACCAGGCTACTCAAAGCTCATACCAAGCTTTTAGAGCCTCATACCAGGCTACTAGAGGTTCAAACCAGGCTATGAGAAAAGTCGCTGTCAATGAGGCGGAGTCTTTGAAACTCAAATTCAATGTCTGTAATTTCAGAGAACGTATGTAACACATTTATGCATGTTCTTGCAGACATTGTATAGTTTGCTGACACACTTTACCCTAAAATACAAAGGGAGGGTGCCTCTAGCTCTGAGCTTCAAGTTAAGACTGGCTCAGAAGCAGCAAATTTAGATTTGATATTCTTCCTAGAACCAGATGGAGTCGGCGTCTTATTGAAAGTGCCCGTCGTGATCAAATTAAAGCAGTTTTTTATCAGCAATTAGTGAAAAGATTACAGAGAAAAAATACGAATGATCCCGTAGAGTGTAGACCTTGGCATGATGCCAAATTGAAGTGAAACTCGTTAGTACCCGTTATTTCGAAATATTTTTGTAGAATCGTAATTAGGTTGGCGAAACAGGACTTCTAGTACCGAATTTTTGATATTTGGAGAAAATGTTTTGAAAAATGTGTACAATTTTGGCGTACAAAATGATATTTAGATTTTAATATCTAGATGCATATATATTAAATCAAATTTTTATCTTCTTTAATTAAGGCTAAAACTTTGTAAAAGATTGGTTTTCTAAATTTCAAATTCCGAATTGGCCTAAAATTCCATAAACTAGCATGAAATGGCATAAATTTCGGTGGAGAGAATGAAAAAAAAAAACCTTTGAGTAAATAAAAATGTATGCCATTTTAGGTTATTGGGTCCCCAATAAATCGTACCTAAACGTTAAAATCTAAAATTACTTCTGATCAAAGGGTGTTGACAAATTTATTGCTTATTTAGGTTGAACCCGGTTCAGACAATAAGGTATACAAACAACTAACCAACTTGTTGTGGCTGCATGAATTTGAAGGCTAGGCAATAGCTGCTCCACTGCGCTGCTATACAATGAAATAATAAAGCTCAGATTAAAATATTCATAATAGTAAACCAATTACACATATATATCATACATATCACACACTGTGACGTTTACACTATAGAGGGGGGTTAATTGGGAGCAAAGCCGAACAAGCTAACCAATCAGAGAGCTGCATTATAGTCACGTGACTCGGACAAACCAATCTGAGCTGAGGGCTTGATAGTGGTATGTAATAAACTGAGGAACTAATAAGTGGGTACCTGTACTTCCTGTTGTAGCTAGTAATAGTACAATTAGGGGAGCATGGAGATCCTACCATATAAGGTAATGTTACCTTGATTCACGATGTCAATCCTTCGCATCTCGCCGATCTGCATACGAGAAGCATTATTGGAAGCATGGTTGCGAGAAGCATTATTGGATGCGCGCGCGCGACCCAGTAGTGCATCGCGCTACAAATGTTACCATGGTAACACTGCCATATTATAAGATTGTGTTACTATGGTATCAGTCGAATCAGTCAAGCTCGCTGCCCGCTCGAAATGTTTTGTGTCGTCCGGAGGGCTATGCCAAATAGACTCATTCCACTCGGAACCTAACCATAAATTCATTGCTCGAATCTAAAGTTGAGACCGACTATACGATTTAATACTGTCGTTTCTTGTCCTCTTTTACGACGAAATTTTAAAAGAGCAGCAACTTCACCGACAGTTCCTACGTGACTGGAGAGAGCTGTCACGTACTTGTCGGATAAAACTCTGAACCCAGCCGCCATACCTCAAATTATTTGTTAAAGCATAAGTTAACTAATACTATACATTATAACTAATACTATTGACTATATAACCCTAATCCCAACCCTAACCCTAACCATAACCCCGAAGCTATCACAGTGCTGGCAAGCACGACCGTTGCATTTATTGTGGGTATACTATGTTCCCCATTTACTATTATACCCCCTTTACTATTATACCCCCTTTACTATTATACCCCCTTTGGTACACGTTACAAGCCTCTTTTGTGCACGCGAAGCGTGCACTCCGGCCGGAGGCGGCGGCCGAAGGCCGCCGCCTCCGGCAGGAGTTTTTCAGGCATTAAGACTCATCGGAAGTCGTTCAGCAGATTTATTTTTAGTTCAAAACATTCTAATTTGATGTCAAAGATGACAGGAATAAAAAATAGTTATGTTGAGATTTTTAAGAAATTTGCATAAAATACTCGCCAGCACTGTTATACGAAATTCGGTAAAAAACCCAAAATCGCCATATTCAGGTGCCTTAAAAACCATCTTAAAATTGAGTTAGAGATCTGAAATTTTTCAGGGCGTCTAGACGTTGACCAAATCGACTGCAAAAAAAGTTTCAGGTTTCAGGAGCATCGGGAAATGGGTTTTCTAGAACCCCTGTTTTACGATAGATTGTCGTGATACATACATACATACATATATATACATATACATATATTCAGGGATAGACGCTTTGCCAGTCAATTGTAGCCTGTATTTAGGTGTCCATAGATTTAAAAGTATAAAAGATACAGCCATTTCCGACCACAGGTCTTGCAAATAATTGTTTACACTTTAGTTTACACTAGCAGGAACCCGTCTACCCTAAAGTGGTGTCAAGACTCGAGAGACTAAAATAATTATTACCTATTTAATTCGCGTTTTTGACATCACTTGGGAGTCCAAATTTTGGGCACTAAAATTCTTATTCCTTGGCCTATTTTTTATTTTTTCATGCTGATTTGAAGGCCATTAAAGCATTTGACCCAGTCAAAAAAGTTTCAGTTGTATATCTTTTACGGTTTTTGCGGGAAGTCGTGTTAAAGTTGATGCCATGGTGTCAGTAAAATGGCACGGAACCATATATATCGTCTCGCTTTATATATAGTAAGATTGTATAAAAAAATTATTTGACGTCATAAACACCCCTTGATGACGTCATCAAGTTAACCGTTTTTAAAACTTGATTTTTGACAAAGTAATAACTTTTAAAATTAATTTTAAACCATTAAGGAGTAATTGTATTCAAAATCTGAGGAAATTTTTACCTTAGATAATTGTTCAAGCATTCTGAAAATCTACCGGAAAGTTTTTCTAGCTTGCTCCTTCATAAAGATATTCGTCATTGAAGTTTGTGCTTTTTTGAAGAATTATTTTATAAAAACGTCAATTTTGCGATTTAGTATTCTCTGGTGTTGGGCCATGCCTTGGGTTGTGGAGCTCAGTTCAGCTTCCTATAGGTATAAATTGTGCATTAGGCTAGTTTTAAAGTTGAAAATCGAAAAGTTGCACACGTGGGGACACGCCCAAATTGATAGAAAATTGCTAAAATCACTGAAAATTGCTGTTTTCGTCATTTTCTGTCTACTTTAGAGTGCCGTTGTGATTACAGTTCTTCTTGAAATAATTTGAAACTTTGCATGCCTATTAAACTATATATAATACAATTACATGCAAAAATTTACGGCGATTCAATATTGGATGCGCACGCAACGTCCGCTCAAAGTTTGCACGTGCGAAAGGTGAGAATTTTGCTCATTCGTGATTTCCAACAAATTCTGCTTTGCCACGACAGTTTAATGTCATTATATATGAATTTAATGCCAACTTGAATGAGTATTAAGTGGCATATTCAGTCAGTGATCGACCGATATGCTTCCCTAAACACAAGGAAATGTTTTTTAAAGGAAAAATTTCGAAATCGTTGAAACTTCCTCCTTATTAATGAATATATCAGTTTATGTTTCGACTTTATAAAGTACCCTGACATTATAATCAAAAAGAGATGATATTTTACCAAAACCCATAATCATGGGTAGAGTGGACCGCTGCCAGTGTCTCTCTTTCCCAAACAAAAGGAAATGATATTAATTTGATTGACCGTTCTCAAATGCAAAATGATACCGAGAATGAAATCGGTCGCTCGCTTTTCCCATTCATTTACAATTGTAATACTAATAGATTAAGAAGAACTACCCCAAGGCAGCTGTACTCGGCAATGAAGATTCAATAAACTTCAGCTTGTTCAATAAGTAATAACTACCACCCTTGTCCCTTACCCCGAAATACTAGGTATCGACCCGAACGCAACCCAAAGAGATTTTTACAGCATCTGATTGACATGTAATCAATCGAAAATTATTACAATTCGTAAGCCGTGAATGAATGGGAAAAGCGAGCGACCGATTTCATTCTCGGTATCATTTTGCATTTGAGAACGGTCAATCAAATTAATATCATTTCCTTTTGTTTGGGAAAGAGAGACACTGGCAGCGGTCCACTCTACCCATGATTATGGGTTTTGGTAAAATCCATAATCTTAACCACAACCCTAACACTAACCCGAGCCCTAAATAATCGAATTCACGTTTTACTAGCCTGTCACGTGACCAAAACGGTTTTTTGCCCATAACTCTCTAGGGAAGCATTTTAACCCTACGTCATGGGGGGTGATTCGGAATCAGCGTCCAAAAATACACCGATCAAAAATACACCGTCCAAAAATACCGCGTCCAAAAATACACCGATTTAGATCACTTTCATGCCTAAAGGGCCTTTTCACAAAAATTTTCTTAAAATTTGGGCGAGCGATTTAGTAGGAGCGGTTTGTCATACGCGGTTTGTCATACGTTGTCATACGTTGTATGACCCGCCGCGCACGAAGTGCGCGGCTCCCCCTGTATCGTCGAAGACGATATAGTGAAGCGACCGTGGGGGTCACCACGTGATACAAACATCCGTCAGCTGCCAGCACCACTGACAAAGGATACTCAGAATCTCAACAACTCAGAAGATAATGTTTGCCATACTCATAGAGTCGGGCGAACTCTATACTATTCACAGGTTAGTCAGGCATGATTGATTGGGAACTGGGTTTTACTACCCCAGTTAATGTTTACTAAAAATAGATATTGAACAGCAATTTAAAATTGTAAATATACATATAAAAGTATGTATAAAGGCTGCACCAGCTGACTAAGAGTAATGAAACAGCGATCTCTGAACAAGATTCGCCTAAAACCAGATTAATCCCTTGAAAACTATACAGTTTTGTATAAGTGAAATAAAATGGTTAGATCCTTCGACAAAAACTAAGCACACAGAAGACAAATACTCATAGAGCTAAACTTTTTGATTTGCTCACAACACGAAAAATATTTAGAAACTCATTTTTGCCTCTCAAGGCTACAAATCTTCCCTTCACGAATGAAGAGTTTTTTGTCCTTCTCAATACCAGCTCTTCTTTTTAGCTCTAGGACAAGTTCTTTACGCTGAGCTCTCTCTTCTGCTGTACGATCTGGAGCTAGGAACACCCTCTTAAATCTCTCTGTTCCACACAGTTTACTCGACTTCTTCAGTATTTGTTGCACAATCGAAGAACTGGAAAAGGAAACTTTAACCGGTCTTGCAGCTGACGGTGATTTCTTGCCGATTCTACAAGCCTCAACTCGGGGTTTCTCTCCCAATGATTCCAATACTTCAGCGACTTTTGTATTGATCTCCTCATTGACCTCCTCGCATAGCCCAAAGACCATGATGTTCCTACCCAACTCCTCCTCCAAAGCAATTTGCTTGGCAACTGATTTAATGGATTCTGTAGAAATCGCAGCTGAGTTCTCGATACTACCGGATTTCACCACATCGCTAAAACTTTGTTTAACTGAACTGACTTCTTTCTGAACACCCTCAAAAAACTCAGTCTTGAGATGTTCGTTAAACTCTATCGCCTTAGAAAGTCCTTCTTTTGCAGATAATAGTTGCTCCTGTAGTTTTATAACTTGGTCCTGCAGCTGTATCATACTAGACTGATACTAACTAACGTGTACCCTCTGATTTATGATCATGTTATGCTGTCTCTCAATGAGCTGCATGGCTTGCAAAAACTTTGCCGCTAAATCCCCCTTGTTACCAATTTTGTTCACGCTCTCATGATTTAGTTCTTGAACACAATCGACTTTACACTGTTTCACGGTATCAAGTAGGAACTTTTGTCCATCGGTCTCTACTAAGTCAAATTTAAAACGTTCTGCTACTGTCGGCATATCGTTGATCAGTTATACACAGTGTATAGTATCCGTAAAACAAGCTGTAGCTGCGAGTATGAGACAGTTGTTGAGATGATAAGCGCTGCTGATAACAGAGGCACAAATTAGCAACGAAATAAAAGCGTGTATAACTGCACGAAAATATATCTGTTGATATCTATATAGGGAGATTTGAGGTGTCTCAACTTTACTTAGTTGAGTGTGTCCCACAACCAAGCACCTTGTCTAGAAGTCCGGCTTTATATATAATAATGATCCTGGGCCTAAGTGGCGAGTAGCACTATGTCAACAACAACAATAAAAACAACCCCATCACCACTACGTCTTCATCTCGAGTGCCAAATGTGATGAATTTTAACCAGTATGGAGATTCTCGGATAATTTTTGTATATTTTGTTTGGAATTGGAATGATTTGATAAAAATTAAACCCAGAATTAAGTTTAAATAGTAAACAAATGTTAGCAACGACATTACGACAATGTAGTCTTAGTGAGCACTTTAATTTATACTCACTGTTAAGGCGAGTTCATTTCTGTAAAACAACAAAACCATTTCTTACAGAAATATGAAATTGTGAATTATAGTGAAATAAATAATAGCATCAAAACTGATAATAATGTAAAACATTTCCTCCGAAACAAAGAAGATAGATAATACCAGTCAAAACGAAAATATAAAAGCCAAACTTAAAATCTTCAAATGGACCAATAAAGAAAAAAATTATAAATATTGGTGAAATGTAGCAACACCTAGACAGCTCAGCTTAACTGAGAAATCTAAAATATTTCCATCAGAAAGGTAACTGAGACACAGCCTCCAACTGAACCTCAAAATTCCCATCATTAACCTTCAGTTCGTCCGACACAGCAGTCCTATTTAGTGGTGCAACCTGCTGATCGAACAGCACGGTTTGTCGCACACTACCAAAGAAATCAGTTATGAGGACATCACCTGGTTTTCTGGTTTTAAACAGGTTTAAGTTGGAGTACTGCGGAGTGGATCTTATCTCTGCTGTGGAGTAAACCCTGGAAAATTTATTGGTTAGCAACGCCTGACTGAATTAGTCTTCGGGGACTACACAAAAAAAAGTAATTTAACTAGAGCTGAAGAAACATTGAAATGACAAACTCAAAACCACACCAAAACTAAAACTAATCCAAACGTTTTGTTTTGTTTTGAAGAAATCTCAATTTCAGATTAACCCCCAACCTGAAAAGGTCACTTAGAGTTGCCTTGCTGTTCGGTTGTACTTTCTCAAGGAAGTCCAGTGTAAAGTAAGTGAACCTGTCAATTACATAGACCCCTATCTCTTTATCACCGTGATGTGAGAGCGAGTCCTGGCCCACTGTACTGGACCCTGGTGAGAAAATAGTTTTAGTTTTTAAATGATCCGAGGAGGCGGCTTTGCCCACGCTCAAGTAATCAAAATGTATATCAAAGTTTTGAAGAAACATTTGGTCGTGAATTTTGGCTTTACTTCACAATGCTTACGTTCAAATAGTTTGAGGTAGTAACAAAGAAAGAACACAGCTAATAACAGATTACCAGTTTGAACTGACCTACTCCAATGATATTGGGAGACTTGATAGGGAGAACCATTGATCCTGCTTGACATGTATCTATCATGAAGAACAGCTCGTTATACCTGCAAACAGAACATGTGCAGCGAAGGGATTGTATAAATGGAAGATACGAATCAGAAGAAATAAAATGCGCTTCAATATCATCTCGAATACCTCTGAAATACATTATATGTTTAAAAACTATACTAAGCCAAATATAAACATTAACCATACCTCTTCTTCTCGTGCATCTGTTGGAAGACATCAGAAAGTTCCAAAGCATTCATTTCTTCGGTATCCTGGAATTTGAGGAATCCGTCACCCCCGTGTCCTGGGAGATAGAGATACGTTACAAATCATAATGGCGAGAAAACCATTCTATGTTTATCAGAATTTGGAGAATACTCGTCTGGTAAGGCAAACCCCGACTAATGAGGACAATTGGAAAGAGTTTTGGAATTCATCATAAGTTATACCATGTCACTAAAGTTGCTACACGATACACAGTAATCAGTGTACATCCATTAGTTACAGTAACTACACGTACCAGTAATATACACGAGAATGTTACTATTCTCATCGCTCATAAGCCTCTTAGAACTCGGGGTCCCCTCAGGTAGCCTATCAGTGAGTACTCTGAAGAAGTTCTCTACGGTAACCTCCGAGTCTCTGTAATCTACCTGATTGGGGGTGCCATTGTGTTCCTTCCTTATTTGGTAATGTAACCATGGTTAAACTGCCATACAAAGGTAAAATCTACAATAAGTCTACAAGTAGACCCTAAACAGTCCTCATAACTTCAGGCTATATATGGCAATGTTGCCAAGGTAACACCTACCTCCACATCGTCAGGGTATATCTGAACGTGTCTATCTCTGTTGTTAAACACCTGAATTAACAATGTATGTTAATTTCAATATTCCCGGAGATTTACTAAACTGACTTCATGATTTTTTAAAGGAAGACCTGTACCGAATATTCAGGCACATCCATTGTAAAAAGGCTTTCCGTGTTCAAAACAGGTTTCCAACATTAATTAATTAATTAAATAATTAATTATCCAATGAATTAATCACCTGAGCGGAAGTTGGGTTACGAGGATTACAAGCCATATCGTCAGATAACATCAAAATTATATGACTGTCTGGGATACCTGAGAATAGGTTGTTATTATGAGGGGCTAAGAAGGTGCTTATGATGGCCTTTCTCTCAATTCAGCTTCAATTCATTAAACTGGCACATATTATATACATTAAAATAAAGTCCATTCACATTCAACAATAACCAGTAAAAGTAAACGTAAGATAAAACTCACCTAATCGTTTAACAGAGTAGTAGATTGAGAGAGCGTTAGCAGCATGTCTATAGTTAAACCAATACCGGCTAGCATCTGCTATCACCACCCAGTTGTTTGTGTGGACCGCCAATAAAGGGCTTATCAGAAGGAGGAAATACAGGAGAGGAGACATCCTATATCAACAAGAAGATAGAGGGATTGCTTTGTTTCAGCTGAATGTATGCACTATGCAAGTACATATATTTATGGGTTTCATTATTTGTGAGTACATTTTCGGTATGAATGATGGACTCAAATAAGAAGTACAAGTTTGAAAACAAATATCTATAAACACTATAATAACATTTAATTACATGTTGGTGTGGTATAAATAGATAAAATATCTGAAACAGCCCTTCAACAATCTGATTTGAATTTAACCTTTAAACTGATCTGATAGAATGTGTGATTTCTGGATATATTCTATAAAATTAATGTTAAACAACTGATTTCAACACTGATATAACAATCCAGATATTACTGAAAAGTTGTTATTCCATGGTCAACATGGTAGCCAAAACAAAGCGCCTACGCCCTACTCTTCTATGTTCAAGATTTTGTAACCAACCAGATTTAATCGATCCGGCCATTAATTAAGCTGTTCGTTATCTTCGCTTCAAAAAGACGGTACGTGCGCGCAACGAAACTACCATAGATGTTACCGCGCGCGCGGAAATGTCCCAAAAAATGGCAATTTCACAAAACCTTGAAAGACAAATCCTATAAAGCACCGGCAAGTTTTCCAGAGTTCGTATCTTTCCACAGTCGACACGTGTTGTCTTTACTACCACTTATCAGCATATCACCCGAGTAGTTAAACTGGCAACTGAACACCTCGTCTGTGTGCCCTTCCAACGTCTGAAACATTTACAACATTCAAAATCTGTTCTTAGATGCGACTTTCTCCTTTTATTCCGGATAAATTGAAATATAGTAGTATTCGATGTGCACTAACTCCCAGAGCAAGGGTTCAGCCTTTACATAGACTGCTGGGCAGAAATAGCATAGTTAGTACATTGTCCTTAAGTTAGTACATTTTCCTCAAGACTCTCGAAATTTCTAAGATCTATCTATATCTATCTATTTAGTATGCAGATTTACAAACAAATAAGAGTGTTCCCACATCAGACACACTTTTTATACCTTTCCAGACCTCAATACTCAATATTAGTTCCACTTGAGCACTACGAGCATTACTCATACCTAAACCATTCCCAATTTCAATCCCCCCCCCCCCCCCCCCCCCCCCCCCCCGGCCCATCTTCATTATCTAACAATTTCTTTCATTCAATCCTATTGAAAACGAGTTCTTTACACGAACCAATACGAGCTCTACACCACATAGTTTAAACACATTGATTGAGTAATAGAATTCGTGCAAGATGTGTTTACGAGTTGCCATGCAAGGCAGGGCACTCGAAAATTCTATATATTATATCATAATACATGTAAAATGTATAACGTGCTCATCTAAATTTAGAATTATTGCTTGCTTCGAACACGCATTGCGTAAAATCGTGTGAAATGTTACATTTTACAATACACTATGAAACAGAGTTTCACATGTAACACATCTGAAATGTCATTAATACTGATAACTGCAATTAATGGCTTTGAATTAACGAACTCATTGAATTTTTAACGGAAATAGTGTTTATAACTAGTCATTCTTGCCAACACGACAATGAATTTATGAATCCACTAGCTAATTAGTTAACCTAATTAATTAACCCAATTAAAGTACAAACCTGTAAACATTTCCCTGAGTTTATATCCCATATCCTGACAGTTTTATCACTGCTAGCAGTAGCAACACGTTTACCGCTAGGATTAAACGTCCCTTTACTGATCTCACGTTCATGGCCCACAAACGTGGCCAAACACTTGTAGGAGCCAACGTCGAATACTCGGGCTAAAACAGGGGGCTTGTTAGATAAAAGTGTTCGAGACGAACTTTAGCCTTTAATTTAGTTATACATGTGATATACTTCATAAAATGCTTAAACCTACACCCAGTAATGTTTCTATACTACATTATATATACAATACGAAGCTAAACGCAGTATAAATTTAACTCGTAGCTGTTTAACAATCAAATTGCTTCAATTTAATTTCTTGGATTTACAATATTAGTAAATATTGTTATTTTAAAACATACCTGTAGCATCAGCAGAAACAGAGAGCAGCTGTTTTCCCCTGTGATCGAAGGAAATGTCAAGTACCTCGTCAGTGTGCCCGTACAGTGTCTCAACACACTGTCCTGACCTACAGTCCCACACCTGAGAAGATAGAGAGTGATACAGGGTTGGGGCCGGGGGGCAAAGAGAGAATGATACAGGGTGAGGGCCAGGGGGGGGCAAAGAGAGAATGATACAGGGTGGGGGCCTGGGGGGGGGGGGGCTAAGAGAGAATGATACAGGGTGGGGGCCATGCTTATATTATTATGCTTTTGCTCACATTATTGCACTTTTGATTACTAATTAAAATCCATCCGAGGGAAATAATGTCATTAACAACAAAGCAGTAAAACATCGGTGTGTAGTCTCCGGAATGTGTCGTACTGATAGGAGTCTGAAGTGAAGCCAGAACACAATTACGGACAAGTAAAGGATTAGTGGAGCGGGAGTCTGGGAGGAGGACAGTTCAAAAGATGTATCCGGGAGCTAGTTAAGAAGATTTAAAACAGGTACAGAGATTAACAATTTCAGTATGAAACTACTCTCATTTACAATTATTGATTATCTTCTCCGTTTTGTTACCCCCTGGATACTCACTAACCCGAATTACTTCCTTCAGTGAAAAACACAGTCACAAAGAAAAGATAACGCCCAGCCTCTACTCGAACACACGAATAGAGTAGGACCACTCTTGCAACATTTTAAGAGTTATGAGAGGACCTTTACAGCTATTGGAGCGAATTCTATACGCAAAGATGTTGTGTTATAGCAAAGATTATTTTTTCATATTCAATTAACTAATATCAGGGTTTATTTATTTTTTATATCACCGCAAACCTTATAAGTTATAAGCGATATTTTATATTTGCAGAATATGTGACGACAATATTTCTAAAGATATCATTTAAGACCTTTTTATTTCAGAACATTTAAATTGAGATATTGAATGCAATGCACGGTATTTTTATTTTTCAATATTGCAAGAAAATGTTTCTTTTAGTATAGCAACTGAGATGTTAAATTGTGGAAGAGGGCATCCTTTAAAAGGTTGATGCTCGCTACAAAAATTAAAGTTCCTTTTCAAAGAAAGAGATCATTAATAGAGAGTTGAGATGGTTCTTCAAACCGGAACTTTTCTTAACTAAAAACATATTAGTTGCTAATCAGACAAGACACATTCAGAATCATCCTAAATTTAATTGACTGAAATATTCAAGGTTTTGGATTGGATGTCTAAAATGGCTAACAATATTCGTATAAACAAAGTTAATAATTAAGTAAGTTACTTACCTTGCAACTCTTGTCCATGGATCCTGTGCCAATGAGAGTGTCATCGTAACTAATCACCGCGTTTGAGATCTCACCTCGGTGTCCTTCAAATTAGTAACGTGTTAAAAAATCACAGATTTCGCGAGTTTTTGTTGATTGTTGAATATAAATTACGGTAATCATGAGCTGATGAATGTTCGGTTTGACACGTGACAGCATGGAACCAATCAGCTGGCAGCATAAAGTAAACTAACCAATCAGTGAGGAGATTTTGTGACCAGTTTCCACGTCCCAGATAGCGACGGTGTTGTCGAAACTGCCCGTTACCACTTTGTCCCCAAGACTGTTGAACTGTATTGAGATTATCTCCGCACTGTGGCCCTGAAACAGTCAAGTTATGTCACGTGTCAAGTTACGTCACGTGTCAAGTTACGTCACGTGTCAAGTTATGTCACGTGTTTCCTGTCCTAACGTATATCATTTTTTGTTGATTTTACTGACGCCTTTCTTATCTTTGGCCCATTTTCGGTTGGAAGAAAAATTCGGTGCTTACTTTGAAAATAAATTTATTTGGGTGTAGGTGTACAATAAAATTATATTGAGATCAGTTCCTTTGCGAACAAGTGAGTCGTTGTGTGTAAACAGGAATCTAAGTTTCAATATGTTAAATAGGGTATGATTCAACTTATGAAACCTACGAATATGGTATAATCGAGGGACCAGAAACCCTTTGCCGTATTTTGTCTTATATAACGAACACCACTGCACCCACGAAATCAGTACTTTAATAGCTTAAATAAGATATTCTAGTGCGGCAAACACAAAGAGCGAGCACAATGATCACCGGGACCGCGATATACCGTATTCGTACCACGTGTCTTATATTCACACCACGTGTCTTATATTCACACCACGTGTCTTGTATTCACACCACGTGTCAAGTATTCACACCACGTGACACGCTAATTCACCTGTAAAGAAGCCATCTCAACCCCAGTCTCCACATCCCATATCTTGCCCATAGTATCCATACTCCCCGTAGCAACCAAGGTACTGGAACTGTTGAATGTGACACACACTATTTCAGCAGTGTGCCCTTTAAAGGTGTGGTAACATTTCCCTGTCTCTGTACTCCACAACTTAGCAGTCCTGATGGGGACAGTTTTAATGGCTAAGAGTTTAATTAATTTAATTACCACTATTAAACTTAACAAAAAAAATCAAAATCCCTAAATTTAACACACGGACCTGTCAAAAGATCCAGTTACAATCTTGTCTGCGAAGGGATTGTTGAAAGCAACAGCGTACACAACGTTCTTGTGTCCGTCTAACACATGGAGCTCCTGACCTTGGTGGGTGTCTCATATCTTACATGTGCGGTCGTAACTACCTGAGTGGGTCGTAAATACGGCTTTCTGATTGGTTTGTTTGTGTCATGTGATTAGAATACAGCTTTCTGATTGGTTAGCTTGTCACGAAGACAATTATAATTAGGAAATAGGAGTCGAGCTATATTGGCATTAAATTCAAGGTCGCGGGTAGAGTTGTAAAGTTAATTGAACTTCCTATTCAACTTTTAACACTAACAACTACAATCTGATCATACTTTTAATAACTGAGATGAAAATTGAAAACCCACCTGACACGAATTTGGATCCACTTTTGTTGAAGCTAACGTTAGTGACAGGGAGGACGTGAGTACGAATAGTTTTGTAGTGGTTGTAATGGTGCTTGTCTGGTGAAGAGAGTTTCGACTGCAGCTTCAGGAGCAGCTTAGCTACCTGAAATAAGTTACGTAATTCAGAGCTTTCTTATATTATACTAATAGACAGTTTTTGGGTTTGTCCAAATAGTTTCTGATTATTCTGATTTGCGACAAATGATATTGCACTGTTAGGATAAACGACGTTTCAAAGTAACAACTTCTTATTCATGCTGACAAAATTGGTAAATATGTGAGAAAACTGTCTCATAAAATTTATTAATCAAAAATAAAATATACTAGAAACTTTCTAAACAGCAATTTACAGGAGTCACCAATAGCTTTAAATTTACAGGTTTAAAAGTGTAACCTGATCTGTTTTGGACGGAGTAATGAGTGGCTCATTTGCTTGAAGCTGCGCAACAAGCTCGTAGATATTACTGCGCTCGGTAAGATCCAGTAGGTCGATAGTCCTCGTCCTGGTCTGACTGCCCTGCTCATACTCCAGGATGATACCCGGAGGGTAGTAACGCAGCAGAAATCTTACCAGCCTCATCCCTAAGCTAAATATGATAATTTTGTCATGGATTTTGTTATCATTATTTCCTTAACTTGGGCCGGGGAGTGGAAGGCAGTGGGAAATGAATAGATGGGCTGAGTCATTTATTTACAACATTTTACAATAAAGATGGTTTTATTTTCCTAAATGATCTTCGAGCCTCGGGGGAGAATTTCATCATTAGGCAGCAGGGACAGAAGGAAATTGCGGCATGTGTGGGATCACGATTTGTCTCATTCTAAGCGACAAATTTTATATGTCGTCTGTTTGGCTTGTCGCGGTATCGCAATTTTTGGCCAAAATAATCGCGATTTTCTTTTGTCCCTGTTTGGCAGCCAACTGCCAAGTAATGGTAACAATAAAACAATAAATACAATTCTTGCAGTTTATGTTATATAATATAGATTTATCTGTACCATTGGAAAAATTATTACAGGTGATAGTCAGCTAACATAAAGTCTTAAAATAAACATTTGAAGGTTTTATCAACTGGATTCATTTTAAAAAAGATATTTAGAATTGAACAATAAAACCCAAAAATAAAGTAAATTGTAAGTTGTAAAGTAAATTGTAATGTAAATTGTAAAGTAAATTGTAAAGTAAATTGTAAATTAAATTGTAAAGTAAATTGTTAAATAAATTTTTAAGTCAATTCAAGTATAGTTGAACACTGTCTAGTAAGTAAGTAAGTAAGTAAAGATTATGACATAACATCATCACAAGTGTCTACAAAATATCATTGCACTAAATAGAAAAATACTTTAAATAAATATACTTTTCCATCAACATTAATAATTTAATAAATTCAATTTTAACTAATAAAATCTAATACATTATCTATAAACAATTCATTAATACTTCCCAGTGGAATAAAGATTTATAAAACGCTTCTTTGCCACAAAAGGATGAAACCAAAGATATTCATTATGTCTCTCCTTATTGCTTAAATAACTTGGTCCTTAAATTTTCCCTAAAACTTCATTCGAAACAGTCCAAAAATAAGAATCATTTACACTGTTTTTAGAAATCATTTCTTTCTTAAATCCTTCCAATCTAACTTTAAAGCTTAAAACTGTCGAGCAGTTCTTGACATCTGAAGGGAGTTTGTTCCAATAAGGAATGACTCGCTCCGGAAGAAAAGAAGACTGAATATTCCTGACTTTAGTTACACTCTTACTACATCTATTGGTTGAAACTAAATTAAGACCAGATCTGCTCATTCTGAACAAACCCGATCCATATTCAGTCAAACCACTAGTTACTTTAAAAGCTTCAATAAGGTCCCCACGTATTCGCCGCTCTGCCAGCGTTGTCAAATTGAGTATATCCAGTCTACGGCTGTATGGAAGAGTACCCACCTCATCAATAAGACGGGTAAACCGCCTCTGGACGCTCTCCAGCTCCAAAACAGTCCCCCAACTTCCATGAGCCGCAACTGGATTCCACAATTGGACACAATACTCAAGATGAGGTCTTATCAAAGCTTTATAAATAGATATCATTACAACCTTTTCTCTAATAACTAAGTTCCTTACAATCCAGCAGATCATACGATTTGCTTTAGAAATACATGCTTTTATCTGTTCATTCCAAAGCAAGGAGCTATGGGTAATAACCCCCAAATCTTTTTCCTGTGCAGATACTTCTAGTTCCACTCCATTTACAATATAATTCGAGTTAGGATTATTATTCAGATTAATATGAACTACTTTACACTTGGCAGGATTGAAGTTTAAGTGCCAAAAACTCTCCCAAATTTCGAGTTCTAAAATATCATCAGATACACTTCCATGGTTAGCTGCATTACAAACTAACTTGAGATCATCTGCAAATAATTTAATCTTATTTTTAACATTGTCAGGTAAATCGTTTATATAAAGAATAAATAACAAAGGACCCAATACTGACCCCTGGGGAACACCAGATAACACGTGTTTCACCTCAGACCATTGTCCTTCTACACAAACCCTCATGGTTCTGTCTGTCAGAAAGTCTTTTATAACATCTAGAACTTTTCCCTTGACCCCAAACCCCTCCAATTTAGATAGAAGTCTAAAGTGGGGGACTGTGTCAAAGGCCTTACTAAAATCAAAATACAAAAGATCGACAGGAGCACCTTCGTCTAAAATATCAAGAATATTATCAAATGTCTCTAAAAGATTAGATAGACAAGATTTACCCTTCAAAAATCCATGCTGATGCTTTGAAATTCGTTCTTCTAAAAATGTTAATAAATGTGCCCTCACTAACTTTTCATACACTTTGCACAAAATACAAGTTAATGAGACAGGTCTATAATTTAAGGGATCAGATTTAACACCCTTTTTAAACAATGCTACAACAGATGCTACAACAGATGCTGTCTGAAAAATTTGAATGGGTCAAAATTCATACAGTTCAATACCAAGAAAATAATCCATCATTTGATCAATATAAGAAAAACTTTGGTAATTCAAGCTGCAGCAAAACATACTAATCAATCTTTCCAGAGAAGTAAATGAAATGGCAAAATCAAAGTAGAATTTGGTACAAAATACATGAAAATGACAGCTGGTAATCTATAAAGAGTAAAATTGTGAGATGCTACACCAGATAAGCTTATCAATACATACACCAAGCAGATGAAAGTACCTTGCACAAGCACTTCCCTCCACAGTATTTGTACAAATTGTTTCTTTTCATCATGGGTACAAACCTCATTGAAGCTCAGGGCCACAGCAAAAAAAACTGGCCCAAAACAGACAAAAAACATAATGTATGAGTCTCTGAATCGTTCTGTCAAGAAAAATGAAAGAAAACTCTTGGTAACTCCACTGTGAAATTCATCATATGTTCCAGAGTACATCAGAGTATCATAGAACATTCCTTGAGTTGAAAAGAAGAGTCCAAATCCAAGTATAGATAACTTTACCACTATCAATGGACCATACTTTCTAAGAAGCTGCATGTTCAACCAATAAGTTAACAATGCTACTATAATATGCATAAATACTGCCAGTGTGGCTATAACTGGCAGTAAATTGGATCCTTTGTTGAGGAAGAATGTAGTTTCCCACTCAGTATGAGAATAGAGAATCCAGCTTCCGAAAGGAATGAAGAAAAAGAGAATTTTTGCAACCATCACCAGAAAGTATCTGTTTGTCCACAGGTTTTCCACCTCAGAGAGTTGCTTTCGGCCACAAGCAATACAAAATCCAACAGAGCCAAATACCCACAATGGTTCAATAATCAACATGCCACCTGAGTTGGTTAAAATTAGTTAAAATGCATGCCCAGTTAGATCTGTGGCAGTGATTGATGAATAATGAACAGTAAGGGTACTAATACTTTAAGAAAATATGTAATGAAGACTTATGGGTATCAGCAGTAGCATAACGTTGCCTGTTAGTGCCCACCTGGGTGTCAGTGTTAATTGATATAATGTTAAAAAAGAACTAACATATATACGAACTCTAAAAGACAGATGTTCAAATTACTTCATGTTTCCTTATTTGATGATTGGGGGCTGAAATTAAAAACATCAGCCGAACTTGACTGTATACCATAAATGTATAGAAATGAGAAAAGACAATTTTTTTGAGAAAAGACAATTTTTTGAGAAACTTATCATTTTTTGAGAAACTTAATGAGAAACACAACCGAAATAACGATGCTATAACGAACAAAATAAAAACTCAAACAACGAGATACTATTTATTGAATCTAGTTATAGCTTTATAGGGCGTCATATTCCCAGGTTCGCGTAGGCTCCCGCCCAGATTTCACGGCCCGGTAGGTCGAGACAATGTCTGACGAGCTTGCACTAGACTGCACGGAGCACTTATTTCGCTTCTTAAATGTCATAGAATGAAACTATCATTAATCCAAATTGAGGCAATCAGCCGACGCTTGGCTTTTATGGTTATCTATGATATGTATATCTCTAATAAAGATCAAAATTCAAATTTGTATTCCTTAAAATTTGTATTTCTTATGAGAGATGCTGAGTATGATAAGTGATAACACTATTATATAGCATTTACAACAATTTATTCAAATTTCATTCGCAGACATAATAAAAGTCCTAAAGTTGATTAATTCTCAACAGAATATGAATACAAAAAAAAAATGTAGCTGAGACACCTCACAGCAAGTAGACCAAAGTGGCTCTTGCTTGTGAAAGGTGCGTCAACTACCCGCCGAAGCAGTGGGTTGGGAGTCCCCCCTGGGATCATTTCGTCCGTAAAATTATATACAACATAAAATAGTACAGTAAAATATCAAAATTTACATAAACAAATCTAGGAGACCTCAAAGCTTGTCTTCTGGGGGATGAGGTTGAAGGAGATGTCATGCAGTTGAAGATACTGGGCCGTTGATCTTCCTCTGATTCCTCTTAGTGCAATGAGTGTACTTCTTAACAGATCAAATCTGAATCGTGTTCTGATATGATTTTTGACTTGGCTCTTGGCTTCTTTTTTATGGTCAGCTATTATCTCAGAGACACGATCTACAAATACAGTGCATAGCGGTCCCATACCTCCAGAGGTTGTGAAGACTAGAGGGACAAAGGATCCTTTCTCTGACTGAAGTACTCTCTCTTCATACAAATCTTTCTTTTCTTTCTCGTGATCTTTATAGATCTTATCTAGCGTCTTAAATGTGTTTGTGTCACAGTTAGGATGTGTGACCCTAATGTCAAAGAATGTTCTTTCAAAGGGTGCATACAATCCGACAGCTGCAACATCAAGACGGGCTTCATCCTGGGTGTTGGTCTTTCTTGAGAAGGAGCTTGGTTGGACTGTCAGGAGTGCTGGTTCTATCCTTACATCTTTACACTTTGCTTCTCGGAGGAAGAAAGCAGCAGTATCTCTAATAGCGTTGTGGCGCATGTTAACGTATCCGCCTAGTTCACAGTCAAGTGCGTGGTAGATACTGTTAACATTTCCACAAGCACATTTAGAGGGCACTCCTTGGATCTTCCAACCATACCTTAAGCGTATGCTGTCTTGGAACTC